AAAGTCACCGAGCTCGTCCTAAAGACACTGTGCAGTGATGTTCCATAGTTGTGAAATGTTAACTTAGAAAGGCATTAAATACTTGGTATAAATATAGGTCTCATCTCTATTGGCCTCATCAATAAACTATTATCTATACAACTTGAGAACATAGGGCCAATTCCGATTACCAAGCCTTCTGTTCATCCATTCCTGCATCTATCTATCTATCTGTCTATCGAATACACATCTCCCTTTCCCAACCCTCTTTCTCTCAACCCCTAGTCACAGTGCTCCAACCACAGTCTAAGGAGAGTGTCTCTTCTATTTATAGGTGTCTATGCAAAGTATGAACCAAATGCCCCGGTTAAATTCTGCCCTGTCTCTGACCTTTTCTCTCTCCCTATACAGACACTCTGGCTTGGCTACAGGGTCTCATTTACTCCCCATCCTTGAAAATTGTATTTCTGTACATCCAGGAAGCTGAGATTTTGGTTCAAATTATTTGTCATTTTACAATTTCCCAAGGTGAATTTTACCCTCCCTAAAAATCACAGGATGCAACCCCAGTTCCAAGGCCTGCAGCTTTAATTCTGACGTAATCTTAAAAGAGATCATAAATGTTCACACTTCCTGGTACTCATAGAATGTTTAATTTCGATCTGTCCTGCTCTCTGGCCAAACATTCTTCTCTCACACACCATGAGCCAAGACCCACTAAAGACACTGGGAATATTTCCCTTCAGCACGGTCGATTTAAGAGCAGTCCCTAGACATTAATGGGAGCTAAGTGACATCATTGACATCCTCTCCTTATTTCCCCAGTGATGTGAAAGTATAATCAGGGTCTCACCGCGATGGTCCAGGCGCTGCACAAACACGCAGTAAAGAGTTGCAGGGGGCAGGTAGGCAACCTATGGCACGCGGTCCGAAGGCAGCACGGAGCTGATTTTCAGTGGCACTCACACTGCCTGGGTCCTGCTCACTGGTCCAGGGGGCTCTGCATTTTAATTTAATTCTAAATGAAGCTTCTTAAACATTTTTAAAAACTTATTTACTTTACATACAACAATAGTTTAGTATCAAAGGGGTAGCCGTGTTAGTCTGGATCTGTAAAAGCAGCAAAGAGTCCTGTGGCACCTTATAGACTAACAGACATATTGGACCATGAGCTTTCGTGGGTGAATACCCACTTCTTCGGATGCATGTAGTAGAAATTTCCAGGGGCAGCTATAAATATGCAAGCAAGAGTGAGTCAGGCTAGAGATAACGAGGTTAGTTCAATCAGGGAGGTTGAGGCCCTCTTCTAGCAGTTGAGGTGTGAACACCTAGGGAGGAGAAACTGCTTCTGTAGTTGGCTAGCCATTCACAGTCTGTTTAATCCTGAGCTGATGGTGTCAAATTTGCAGATGAACTGAAGCTCAGCAATTTCTCTTTGAAGTGTGGTCCTGAAGTTTTTTTGCTGCAAGATGGATACCTTTAAATCTGCTATTGTGTGTCCAGGGAGGTTGAAGTGTTCTCCTACAGGTTTTTGTATATTGCCATTCCTAATATCTGATTTGTGTCCATTTATCCTTTTACGTAGGGATAAAGAATAGTTTAGTTATATATTATAGACTTATAGAAAGAGACCTTCTAAAAACGTTAAAATGTATGACTGGCACGCGAAACCTTAAATCAGAGTGAATAAATGAAATAAACCTTCTGAAAGGTTGGCGACCCCTAAGGAGACTCCTATCAGAGACTCAATGACAGTAATTCAGACCATTAAGGGAGGTGTTTGTATCTCTTATAAGGAGCGGGATATGCAAATACGGGTGGCAGGTTCCTGTTTAAATCTCTCGCTCAGTCTCTCCACGCTGCATCCGGAGAGACAATCCTCAGACCCCTGTGTCTGGGCAGAGACCAGCCAATTCCCCGAGACGTTTCCCCTCCAACATCAGGGAAAATGAGACTTTGGCTCCACTTACTTTTCATTGTAGCAGCTTTGTCAGGTATTTTCTTCCCCTGAACACATTGGACATGCTGGCAGATGTGATAATATTGGCATGAATGTAGTTATATTGTAAACACGATTTTATTTTTTTCTTCGTTTTTTATTTATTTTATTCCTGTTAATTGATTGAGAATGTATTTAACCTGACTGGTTCCTTTACTGTTCCCTCTTTTCCCTCCTCCCTCATCGCCCCCTCTCCAGGGGCCCGTTCGCAGGTTGTTCTGACCCAGTCCGGTCCTGAAGTGAAGAAGCCCGGAGAATCCACCCAGCTGAAATGCGCCGTGAGCGGGTTTGTTCCTAATGACTGGTGGATGGATTGGGTCAGACAGCTGCCAGGAAAGGGACTGGAGTGGCTGGTTCACTATCGACAATCTTCAGTCACGAATTACTACTCCCCCTCCATCCAGGGGCGATTCACAGCCTCCAAGGACAGCTCCAACTTCTACCTGCAAATGACAGGCCTGAAACCCGAGGACACGGCCGTTTATTACTGCGCAAGACACACAGTGAGGGGAAGCCAGTCTGAGCTCAGACAAAAACCTTCCCCTGCAGAGACCGGGGAGGGCAGCTCTGTTCCACAGCACGGAGAACAGGCACAAAGGATCTCCCCTTACGGACACCGCACAGAGCTGTACGAGGAGACAGAGGCTCTGCTGACTCCATCTCCCCCGGGGAGCGCAGGGAGCGGATGCCCAGAGTGTATTTCACGGAGCAGGAGGAAAGAGCAGGTGCATCTGCCCTCACGCTGTGAATGCCCCCAGTGACCCACCAGAGCTTTCTGATCAGATACTCTGCAGTTTACGGGTCTCTCCTTCTCCCACTGAAGTCAATGGAGACGCTGAGCCCTTAGCGAAGAGCAGTGGGAATGCGGAGCCCTGAGGGAGGATTATGGACTGGAAGGTGTGTGGGGGTGGGAGTGTCAGTGATCTATCGCTTTTGTACTGAGACTGATAATTCTCTGTGGTTGAACTTCACCCCTTTTTAGAGGCGCCAGCAGAAGGTCCTCTCCAGCTACCGAGCCCCATCTAAGCCTCCTGTAGGATTTATCCACTGGCGGAGCCTTATGCTGCCCTTCTGCACAGGGTTGGTTTTTATCTCATCTCCAGAGCTCTTACCCTTCTCCTCAGACCAAGCCACAGTGACTCCAAAATTATTTCCAGCAATGGAGCCAAAAAACCAGAAATATTCTGAAGCACCTTTGCAAAGTCTGTTTCCGCACTCAGTGACCAGGTTACCCTGAGAACGGAATGGTTCTATAGTGTAACTCGCTCCTAATTGATAACACCGACAACAACATTAAAAAGGGCATGGGGGAAGAGAGGCAAAACTCCAAAGCCAGGTGCTTCCGAAGGAATGAACAGAAACAGGTAATCATCAAGTCATCCATCCGCTATCTCCCACTCCCAGCTTCTGGCAAAACAGAGACTAGGGACACCATCTCTGCCCATCCTGGGGAATAGCCATTGATGGACCTATCCTCCATGAATTTATCTGGGGGTTTTGGACCCTATTATATTCTTGGCCTTCACAACATCTTCTGGGAAAGGTAGAATATTTCTACCTAGACTCCTGCTGTTACCACTACAGACTTCTTCCCTTGTATAGCTAAGAAGAGAAACCAGGAATCTTTACTCTCAGTTAGCCTGAGATAATCACTGTTATCTTTGAGCAGCCACCAGAAACCTGGGACCCTAAGAATTGCCAGCCCCAATACTTTCCCAAGGGCCCACCTAGCTCAACCCTCTGTCTCCCAGAGGGACCAGCACTCACTATTTTATAGGAAGTAGCCCAATATTTGGAAATTAGTAACTCACCTGCTCAAAAGGACAAGATTTCTCATAATCCGCCTCCTTCTGAGATTCATCTCACTCTGAAAGGAGGGGAGTTTATCTCCTTCCCAAAATTGCTCAGCACACCAGCTTGAAGTTCTAACTCTTCCCTGTTTTAACCAGAACAATAACTTTGTGCACTAGCAGTGTCTACATGGGGCATTTAAACCACAATGGGCTGCTGTGCTCTACAGGTTACAGCCCTGTGGTGCACAGTACCACACTATGGAGACAAGACCTGGGGCTGCAAAGTGCATACTCACAGGCAGAAATATAGGTGCCAGGGAACGTTTACTTCAAAATCTGAGGTGCAAAGTGAGCTCAGGTGTCGACAGAATTCAGGGACAGCTGGGGTGGGGTTTCAATCCCATTTTAGGCCTGATTGTGGGATTGCGGTTTCTAATGTGGTCATTAGGCTCCTAAATCTGTTGGTGAATATATCCCTTGGTATTTAGGGGGCTTAGGGAGGAGAAGAAGATGATGGATTTCCTGTTAAAAGACTGATGTCCTAAATATCTTACAGAGTCTCCTACTGCTTCATTTAGAGACCTGTGTGGTTATGTCTCTCTACAGAGAAATGAATTAATTAGGCCTCAAATTTCAAAGATGCTGTCAAGGCTGCTTCCCCACTCTGAACTTTAGGGTACAGATGTGGGGGCCTGCATGAAAACTTCTAAGCTTAACTACCAGCTTAGATCTGGTCCGCTGCCACCATTCCCAATATGCTAATTCCCTTCCCTGGGTAGCCTTGAGAGACTCTTCACCAATTCCCTAGTGAATACAGATCCAAACCCCTTGGATCTTAAAACAAGAGAAATTAACCATCCCCCCTCCTCTCTCCCACCAACTCCTGGTGGATCAAGATCCAAACCCCTTGGATCTAAAAACAAGGAAAATCAATCAGGTTCTCACAAAGAAGGCTTTTAATTAAAGAAAAAGATAAAAATCATCTCTGTAAAATCAGGATGGAAAATAACTTTACAGAGTAATCAAACTTCAAGAGCCCAGAGGACCCCCCTTTAGCCTTAGGTTCAAAGTTACAGCAAACAGAGGTAAACACCCTAGTAAAAGGTACATTTACAAGTTGAGAAAACAAAGATAAAAATTAACACGCCTTGCCTGGCTGTTTACTTACAAGTTTGAAATATGAGAGACTTGTTCAGAAAGATGTGGAGAGCCTGGATTGATGTCTGGTCCCTCTCAGTCCCAAGAGTGAACCACCACCAAAACAAAGAGCACAAACAAAAGCTTTCTCCCCACCAAAATTTGAAAGTATCTTGTCCCCTTATTAGTCCTTTGGGTCAGGTGTCAGCCAGGTTACCTGAGCTTCTTAACCCTTTACGGGTAAAAGGATTTTGGAGTCTCTGGCCAGGAGGGATTTTATAGTATTGTACACAGGAGGACTGTTACCCTTCCCTTTATAGTTATGACAGATGCCTTAGGGAGTTAAGAGCTCCTTTCCACCATACCAAGAAGGACTCTCACTACAGGACCTCTTCTACTTAAACACCCACTACAAACAAACAAACAAACAAACAAACAAACAAACAGAAATCTGGAAAAAACAAATAAAAAAACAGAAGAGACCTGAAGGGAGCCCATGGCATGAAGCAGGGGCCTTAACGCTCTAAGTTTTGGTCCCAAGAGGTGGTGAAGCCAAGTGGCTTACCCTAGTGAGAGTGTGACCCTATGGGGGCTGACACACTGAAGGGGTCCTCCCAGTGACTGTTTCAGAGCTGTTCCAGAGCACCCTATCTATGGATTCGTGCCCCTTTTGCCAATCTTATACTATGTCAAGATTTATTAAATAGGAATAGGAAACAAGAGAGTTCTTTACAAGGTTAATGCAGGTAAAAAATATACATAAATGAGTTACATTCTTCAGTTTCTCAGAGTAATAGAACAATTTATAATAAGGAACTTCTATACGTCCTATAGGGCTAACCCAGACTAAGCAGTTGGGGATCACTTGCTTATGCCTAACCCCCTCCCCCCCCCCCCCGGCCCCCAGTCCAAGCAGTGTAGAGATAACCAGCTCCTTCTTGCTGTGGGTTTCTATTCTCTCCCCACCCCCACCATATGCTCTGAACAGCAAGCTCAAGGGATGAAAGGAACTTGCATGACTTATCTTCACTGGGAGGCAGAGCAGAAAAAAACAAGTATTTTGTTCTCTTTAATGTTCCACAATAGACCGTCTGGCAGTGCTGGACACTTCCTGTTGGGAAGGAGGTAACACTTTCTCTTGATCTTCAGCTTATCACTCTAATTAATGTGTCTCTCCAGTCTGGTGATTCACAGTCACAGAGGCTCATAATACAACCACTCAAACATTACTTTACTCTGTGGGATATATTTGTTAACAGTGACATTAATGCGCGCGGCAACTCACAAGCATTCAATAAAGCCTAAACACTAAACACATTCTTATCATTCTGATACCTAATTTAGCAATACTAGCACACGGGTGAGACAGACCGTTCCAATGTTTGTCAGTGTTCAATTTCGACATGGGGACCTTGGTATAAGCTGGCACCGTTTCTGTCGGTGTGATAGATAGATAGATAGATAGATAGATAGATAGATAGATAGATAGATAGATAGATAGATAGATAGATAGATGATGAAATTGCGCCCTACAGCCATAGTTCCAAAACCCTCTTGAAAGAGCCCATCGGCTTTCACACACCTCTGACCCTGATACACAGAGATTGTCAGCTGTCTCTGCCCTGCTTTCTAGCCAAAGAGTCTTTGCCCGGAAAGCCTGATCCCAAGCCTATAATGGAGGCTTTAGGGTGAGTACAACAGACACTGGACCAGACACTATAGTCATAGATATGCATTTCAGGCGGTTGTTCATTTCTCTCTTAGGCAAATGTTTACTCAGGAGCCCACCGCAGGTTGTTAGTTGAAGAAATACAGAGTGAATCTGACTCATCACGGAGCCCTAGGGAGGGTAATTCACATGGTTGATGGAAGGAGTCTGACTCTTATAAGGAAGGGGATATGCAAATCGAGGAGACAGTTTCCTGTTTAAATCTGTCCCTCTCTGCTGAGACTGCACTAGGAGAAACAATCCGCAGCCCCCGGGGTCTCTGCAGTTGCCAGCCAGTCCCCCTAAGAAGTTTCCGCTCCGAAACCAGAGGAAATGAGACTTTGGTTCCATTTAGTTTTTATTTTTTCCAGGTTTTGGAGGTATTTTTGTCCCTTGAGTAATTTGCTATTACTGTGCGAGGCAAGACACACAGTGAGGAGAAGCCGGTCTGAGCTCAGACAAAAGGGGAAGGGATTTCCTAGGGGTGGCGCTCTGGTTCCACAGCAGTGCGAACGGACACAAAGTATCTCCCCTTATGGACACCACACACAGCTGCAATAGGAGAGAGGCTGACCCCATCTCCCCTGGGGAGCGCAGGGAGCAGATGCCCAGGGTGGATTTCAGCAGAGCAGGAAGAAAGAACAGGTGCATCCGCCCTCGCTCTGTGGATGCCCCCAGTGACTCTCTGGTCAGACACGCTCCAGGTTAAGGCTTCCCCCTTCTCCCAGTGAGGTCTGTGGAGAAGCTGAGCCCTTAGTGCAGGGCAGGGGGCGTGCGGAGCCCGGAGTGAGGGTTGTTTGACAGGCAGGGTGGGGTCAGTAATCTCTGAGTGATCCCCCCCTCAGCCCATTGATAATTCTCTGGATAAAAATCCACCCTTTTGTAGAGGGGGCAGCACAAGTGTCTATGCACCTTCTGAGTGGCACCGAAGCATTTTAGTGTTTAACATTATTTGAGGGTCTGATGCCCAGATCCATATCCCCACAACAATCCAAAGGAAACATGTCTGTGAGTTCCATGCTCCGTGGTGGGAAGAGGAAAGCCAAAGTGGGTATGAATCCAAACAGAAATATGAATGGGACAGGGGAATCGAAATGGAAGTATCCAGGGGGTATTAATTTGAATATGAATGTGAATGGGGATATGAAGTGGAGTATAAATGGGACTACAAAGGAAAATAGGAACAGTATGTCTGCGCATTAATATTTTTCATTTCCACTCCGTTAAAAGTGTCATTAGGAGAGTATGATACTGATGCCCCCTCACACTAGAACTCTCCCCTCCCCTTTACACCTCCCCCCACTACCCCCCATGGCCACGCTCACCTCATAGAGACCCCTACGTTACTACCTATTTTCCTTCTCTCTGCACCTACCTACCACGGCTACCCACAGC